AGTTATCCACCTACAAAGTCAAATCACAGGACCTAAATGTGGACGGCACACAGTACAGAGCAAAGAATAATAGAGGATACATTGAAGAAGCGTGGCGAAATGTCGAGTCGCCTATCAGGCGTCAGGCGTCATAGCCTTAGCATAACGTCGGATTTCAAGTAAAAATTAAACGCCCACATTAGTGTTCCACAAAATACTCCAAAATGACGTAAAAATATCAAAAATAAAAACTGTCCATGCGAAGGATCTAAATATCAACAAGGGGGCTAATAAGCAAAGTGAGCCGAATTCTGGAAAAGAAATAATCTGCTATCACCGATGTCTCATGCCAACTGTTACATGAGTAACTGACATGAGCCTATATATTTCCAAGTGTGGGCAGGACTTGCAGTAGAACACTGAGCACAATCTTATGTGCTGCAGAGTACTCAGTCCCGTCCTCCAACCTGTAAGGAACAGAGCGCGACCATCGTCCACCGCTACCACCACTGCTGTCATTTTTACTACCAATGCAGCCACTACAATTACGTCTACTACCAATTCTACTACTACTACTACTACTACTACTTCACGCATCCCACCTCACCTATTTTGTCCGGGTCGACACAGACGAAGCAGGTGAAGGGTGAAATCACGTTGGTGTTGGTCGAGATGTCGACAATCTGCTGACGAACCTCCGATTCGCCACTCCCCTCCACCTTCTCACCCTCATCACCTTGCAGCGCAGCATGCTTGTCCACCAGCTCCAACAGTTGCGCCTTCGCAGCCAGTCTGTGCAATCCCAAGTTCACCACCGCATCCTCCTCCTCCTCCTCCTCCTCCTCCTTCACAGGCAAACATCGAACCGTCGTCTCCTGCGAGTGCGTCCTACCCTCCACCTTGTAGCTCAACTTCAACGTACCCTCCACATGCGCCTCCTTCCGCTCATCATCTAACCACATCAAACGTCATCCAATGTTATGCTACGTTATTCCATTCAAGCATTCCATGCCGCCCACCCGCACACATTTACAACTGCAAATTACGTCCTAATGCCTCTCACTACCCCACTTAAACAGGATGCAACAGTGACAACATCACTCCCCAATAACACTAGTAACAATGCTGTTGTTAGTGCTGCCGCCATGTGTGTTTGATCTAACAATAAGTTGATTCTCTTGCACGACAACACCCCTACCTACTTCGCCAGTCTCTGTCCAAACGCACCAACTTGAGCACACCCAACCCACAATTACATGGTGCTACTGGAAGATGAGGTAGTAAGTGAGGGGAAATGAGAAATGAGGAAGACATCGAACTCATGCAAGCACCTCCACATAGCTTGATAACCACCTCAACACACATCGAGGGAATCACTTCTGCCCACTCAACACGTCATTTACAAATGACACCAACACGTCTGTCGCGGACCTTATCATCACACCACATGACCACGCCAACCACTGCATAACTGTGCATCTAGCTGGGTCCATACCTTTCACTAGGCACACACATACACACTGATTACACTAATGCAGTTACCCTCCACATTCCCCCACCACATGCTTTGGCATTACAGATACGCAGCGATTAATAAAACAACCACTCACCTGCTTGGATGAGACCAAACGCCGTCATAAACACACCCGAGAAGAGCGGTGGCAGCTGTGAGGGGATAGTAAGGATGTCTGCAGCCTTCCCATTCACCTTCACATCCCACTCCATCGCCACGTCTGTCAGCGTTGACTGCATTGCCGACCCCAGCACCGACATCGTCGCTACGCGCAAATTGTCCCTTCACCAACGACACATAAAAGTTAACACCTCTCGTAACTTCAACTCCCAACTTTCGACATTACCTCGCTCTTCCCTACTTCCACTTACTTGGCATCACTCCTCATCACCTCACCAATCCATCTCTCCGGCCATCTCCACCCCCATCACCCTATCCCTCCTATCTCCACTCGGCTTCCCCACCTACACACCTTCCCACACCCACAACCCTAATCACTCTCTCCACGTAGAGCATCCTCCTCCCCTAAACTCCACTCCACCCTAACCCACCTCACCTCACCTCACCTCACCTCACCTCATCTCTCTGTTACCAATCCAACAACCTTCCTTCAACAATCAAAACTCTCACCTTCCACACCATCTACACCTCTCTCATGATGCCCTACAGTGCCCACCTCTACATCTTCTCCCCTCCTCCCCATCCCTCCAACCACCCTAACTCATCTACTCTCAACTTCATCAGCACACTCAATCCCACACTGCAAACATCATCTGCACCGTCCTCAAGGCCAATACCAAAGCACACACAAATCACCATCCACATTCACCACCACAATGATGCGATGCAATAACTATCACAGAAACCTTGCAAACCAAAACTTGCATAGGTGGGTGCATGAGCTTCCCGATTACAACACTCACACCAGGTGAATTCACTGAATGCAACCAACAACCACTCGAGTAAATATCCACACCACATCTCACACTCACTCGCCTCTCCTCCACACTCACCTCCAATTGACTCGCACCAGTTGTGCAATCAAGGCACCAACCCACAATGAGTGCAAATCCATCACAACATTACAGTGAAATCACCAACCTCTTGATGCGAAACATTGAAATAGCGTCGCAGGAAACTTACCCATCACGGATGAACGTCGCCGTGCCCCTACCAGCTCGAGCCACACCCC